CAAGGCGTAAGAGCAGCGAACAAGAGAAGGGAGAATGCTGACCTTCGACATGATCCCAGGAGGGGTTCTAATCAAGACAAGAGGCCATTGACTTTTAGGCCTCCAACAAATGTACCAGTAGACACTTGGTACAAAACATCTGGCCGGAAAAGGCCAAGTGAAGAGAAATGGCATTCTTTCGATGTTCCAAGAGGTTCCTCTTTAATTCAGAAGAAAGAGCCTCAAGTTGCTGCACCCAAGGTTGCTCAAGTGTCCAGCAACTACAAGGGAAAAAATCCTATGTCGCGATCCCAATGGAGGAGATATCAAAGAAGGCGAAAAGCTGAAAGGGAGGCTGCCAACGAACCTAAGGCAGAAACTAGTTCGAATGTGCCTCAAAGGAAACAAAGAAAGCCTCTTGAGAGAGAACCAGTTACCAACAGGCTAGTTTGGCCTAACCAAAGTGAAGTCGAAGACGAAGATGATGCTGAGTCCGACGATACTCTGGATATAATGGTGAATATTGTTTCAGTACTGCCTAGGGAATTCAATCGACAGGTAGAAGTCGAAGCCAGTGACTGGGAGGTGGAACAAGAAATGGCCAAACATAGGCCAGTGTGCTATTTTGTCATGGACAATGGCACTACAGAGGAACAAAATGGCTTCTTCGAGCCACCTACAGAGGCGATGAAGAATCACCTCAAACCTTTGTTCATAAGGGCTAAGCTCGAAGAGACCACTGTGAACAAAATATTGGTCGACTGTGGGGCCACTATCAATATTATCCCTCATTCTATGCTAAGGAAGATTGGCAAAAGGGATGAAGAAATCAAACCTCACAATATGGTCCTGTCCAACTATGAGGGAGGCATTGGGACCACCATGGGAGTGATCCAGCTAGACATAAAAGTTGGGTCGATCCTTCGACCAACAATGTTCATGGTCATATCGGCCAAACCTAACTACAACCTTTTGTTAGGCCGTGAGTGGATTCATGGTGTTGGCGCTGTACCTTCATCGATGCATCAAAGACTGCTGCTATGGCGTCCAGATGGGATGGTCGAAAACATAGAGGCGGATCAAAGTTACTACCTTGGCGAAGTGAATCACTTGGGTGTAACAGATTTCGACAAAAACTTGGCTCACATAGGGCCATGTCCAACTCCTGACTTCGACATGGCGCCAGCGCCAAACACCTTTTGTTCCCTATACCTGCATCCTGAGCATGGTTTCCAATGGGACAGAGAAGACTTGTCCCACATAGACTTCAGTGGGCTAACTGATATCCAACCAACTGGTTGGGGAAGTGAATTCAGTGATAATGACTGAGTCACAATCTCTGAAGCGAATTTCGGCTTATGTGGCCGAAACCAAGATGATAACGGCTCTCGAAGCCGAAGTAAAGTACATGGCCACACGGGCCAATGATCAACAATTATCTGCTGTTGGCCCAGGAAAGGATTTCGATCCAAGACCTCCTGATACCATGCCAGATGAAATGCAGGAACAGAGGCTCGACGCCATCTATGACGATGAGCCTTTGGGCTTCGAAAAGGATCCCTTGGCGAACAACATTAAGATGTTAGCACAAGACCCTTTAGAAGAAATCAACTTAGGCGAAGGATCAGAGAATAGGCCAACTTACATCAGCGCCAAAATTGATCCAGAACTTAGGTTGGAAGTAATCCAATTGCTGAAAGAGTTTAAAGACTGTTTTGCATGGGATTATGACGAAATGCCCGGTCTCGACAGAGGATTGGTAGAACTTCAGTTGCCAATCAAACCTGGAAAGAAGCCAATCAAGCAAAATCCAAGACGCTTCGCTCCAGAAATATTGTCGAAGATCAAAACGGAGGTCGAAAGACTTCTGAAATGCAAATTCATCCGTGTTACAAGGTATGTCGAATGGATTGCAAATATTGTGCCAGTAATTAAGAAAAATGGCACATTAAGGGTGTGCATAGATTTCAGAGATTTGAATGCTGCCACCCCCAAAGATGAATATCCTATGCCTGTGGCGGAAATGCTAGTCGATTCTGCCGCTGGCTACGAATACCTGAGTATGCTCGATGGTTATTCAGGATATAATCAAATATTCATTGCTGAAGAGGATGTGTCGAAAACAGCTTTTCGATGCCCAGGGGCCTTAGGCACTTACGAATGGGTAGTGATGCCTTTTGGCCTAAAAAACGCTGGGGCAACGTACCAGCGAGCAATGAATACTATCTTCCATGATTTTATTAACACTTTTATGCAAGTTTATATTGATGATATTGTTATAAAATCTGTTTCCAGGAAGAGTCACATTGACCACCTTCGACAATCATTCGAAAGAATGAGAGAACATGGTCTGAAGATGAACCCTTTGAAGTGTGCGTTCTGTGTGAAAGCTGGAGATTTCTTGGGTTTCGTTGTCCACAAGAAAGGAATCGAAATCAATCAGAACAAGACGAAGGCAATTTTGGAAGCGAAAGCGCCATCGAATAAGAAGGAATTGCAATCTCTCTTAGGCAAGATAAATTTCTTAAGAAGGTTTATATCTAACCTAAGTGGGAAAGCTCAGGCCTTTTCACCCTTACTTCGACTGAATAAAGAGGGGTTCGAATGGGGGCAAGAGCAACAAGAAGCCTTCGACAAAATCAAAGGGTACCTCACTAAGCCACCTATTTTGGTGCCTCCTTGTAGCAATAGGAGTATGAGATTGTACATAGCTGCATCTGACAAAACTCTGGGAAGTATGTTAGCCCAAGAGGATGAGAATGGAGTCGAAAGACCCATTTATTATCTCAGTCGAGTTTTGAATGATGCAGAAACTAGATATAGCGAAGTTGAAAAATTGTGTCTATGTCTGTATTTCTCTTGTACAAAACTCAAGCAATATATAAAACCAGTTGATGTTTATGTTTCGTCTCATTTTGATGTTTTCAAATATATGCTGTCGAAACCGATCTTGCATAGTCGAATCGGCAAGTGGGCATTAGCATTAACTGAATACTCCTTGACCTTTATGCCTCTTAAGGCAGTAAAAGGACAAGTGGTTGCAGACTTCATAGTCGACCACTCAATTCAAGTCGAGGATATTAATTATGTGGAGATAGAACCTTGGAAATTCTACTTCGATGGTTCCAGCCATAAAAATGGAACAGGAGTAGGAGTCTTGATTGTTTCTCCAGATAAAATTCCAACAACATTCAAGTACCAAATAGAAGGTTCTTGTTCGAACAATGAGGCTGAGTATGAAGCTCTAATTACTGGCCTTGAGATATTGTTGGAATTGGGGGCAACTCGAGTCGAAATAATGGGAGACTCAGAGTTAGTCATCAAGCAAGTCACAAAAGAATATAAATGCATAAGAGAGAATCTCATTATGTACTTTGTGATAGCAAATCGTTTATTGAAACAATTTGAAAGTGTCAATATTCGACACATACCCAGAGTCGAAAATCAAATAGCCAATGACTTGGCTCAAATTGCATCTGGGTATAAGATTTCAAAAACGAAACTACAAAGAGCAATCGAAGTTCGAAAGAAGATAAAAGCAACTTGTCTATCACCATCAGACTTGGAATCGACGAGGCTAGGATATGCTGATCACAGTAACTTCGAGATTTCGTTCATTGATAATTTGTCAGATCAAGATTGGAGGAAACCCATTGTGGACTATCTTCAAAATCCAGGAGCTCCGACAGAACGAAAAACAAAATACAGGGCGTTGAGTTTTGTACTCATGGGTAATGAGTTATTCAAGAAGACGCCTGGAGGGGTGTTGCTGAAATGTTTAAGTGAAACTGAAGCATACATAGCCCTTTCGACTACGCATGCTGGGGCATGTGGGGCTCACCAAGCAGGCCATAAGATGAAATGGTTGTTGTTTCGACAAGGACTATATTGGCCCACTATGCTGAAAGATTGTGTTGAGTTCGCCAAAGGTTGCCAAGAGTGTCAAGTTCATACAGGCATCCAACATGTACCAGCAAGCGAACTTCACTCGATAGTGAAGCCTTGGCCCTTTCGAGGATGGGCGTTGGATCTTATTGGAGAGATTCGACCAGCATCATCAAAGAGTCAGAAATACATATTGGTAGGCATTGATTATTTTACTAAGTGGATCGAAGCGATCCCTTTAGTCAATGTGGACCAAGAAAATGTCATTGAATTTATTCAAAAGAACATTATCTTTAGATATGGAATTCCTGAGACAATAACAACTGATCAAGGGTCAGTTTTCACCGGTCGAAAGATGCAAGAATTTGCTCAGGAAACAGGTTTCAAACTCCTAACATCCACGCCTTACTATGCACAGGCGAATGGTCAAGTCGAAGCAGCTAACAAAGTAGTGATTGGCTTGATAAAGAAACATGTTGGGAAGAAACCAAAGAATTGGCATAAGACGTTAGACCAGATTTTATGGGCTTGTCGAACATCCCCAAAAGAAGCCACTGGTACAACGCCATATAGGCTAACTTTTGGCCATGATGCAGTGTTGCCAGCAGAAATTTGTCTTCAATCTGCAAGAGTTCAGAGGCATTATGATATTCCTTCTGAGGTTTATTGGAATATGATGTTAGATGAATTGGTGGATTTAGACGAAGAGAGATTACACGCTCTCGACTTACTCAGGCTTCAGAAGAAAAGAGTAGAAGACTCTTATAATAGAAAGGTAAAACCTAAGGTATTTTTGCCTGAAGATTTAGTTTGGAAGGTAATTCTTCCCATGGATCGACGGGATCGAAGCATGGGGAAATGGTCACCCAAATGGGAAGGACCCTTCAGAGTTATCCAAACTTTTTCTGGTGGAGCCTATGAGGTCGAAGAGATAAGTGGTGAGAAAAGGCTCTTGAGAGTAAATGGTAAATATTTGAAAAAATATAAGCCTATACTTCAAGAGATAAAAATAAAATAATAAAAGAACAAACTAAATTAACCATAAAAATGCCAAAATGGAAATTTTCATTAATTTCAGCCAAGATGGCAATTGTTGTCGAAAACGATTACAGAAGATGGTTACAAAAGAGAATCAATCAAAAGGTAAGAGAATTCTTGAGTCGAAGATACTTGGCATACTGCAGCTCCAACCTCTTTTTGCACCAAGAGTTTTCTTGCACTAGTTTGGCAATTTGAGCGTCGAGGCTTTGAGCCCTCTCAGCGAATTCCAGGCCTTGCTTGATCTCGGTCTGGCTCTCAGTGTCTGGGATGGTCGAAAGAATTTCCTTCTGGAGTACAGTGTTGGCGTTTATCTTCGCCTCTATCTCTGCAATTTGTGCTCGGAAGGAGACATTCTCTCGCTCAATAGCATCGATCCTTTCCTGTGCAGACGCTTTCTGTTTCGACAACTCGGCAATTCGAGAAGTCGAATCTGAGACAGCAGTCCACGCAGATGAGCTTTTGCCATGCAGCACTTCGAGCTGACTGTTAAAACCTCGTTGGCGCCTGTAATCCGCTGAGACTTGATCAATCATAGAATGTAATTCCATGATTAAGTCTGAGATTTCTGGGGCTACAGCTTCGAAGTCAACAGCATTCAAAACCTCTTTTAAGCATGATGGAGCAGTGGGGTCCCCCTCTAAAGTCTTCATTAAATCTCTCTTGAAGAACTGGGCCTTAACCTTCGCCAACGCATCATCAAGAGGAGAAGTTTCAGTAGATTTCCCCGACAGGGTAGGAATTTCCTGACTAGTGTCAGAAGAACTCTTACTCTCGATGATTGCATTGAGGTAGCTGACAGGGTCAGTTTGTTTCAAGATTTCCAAGTCCTCTTTTGACTTGTACTTTGAGGAGGTGACCCTTGCCACAGTATTATCTTGGGCTTGAGGCTGTTGAATGTTGAGTGCCTCGTTTGGTTGCTCTTCGACTTGGACTGAGGCGGTACTAGCGTCGACTTGTGGTTCTTCGTTAACATCACCTTGGGGTCCTTCGCCAGCGTCATTTTGTGGCTCTTCGCTAGCGTCACCCTGGTGTTCTTCGCCAGTACCACCTTGGTGCTCTTCGTCAACAACATCTTGATTCTCTTCGCCATTGCCTTGGTCTCTTCCTTCAAGATTCTCTTCTGACGACAAGTCCACCACAGGAACCGTTTCTGGCTGTGTTTCCTCCACCATAGGTTCTTCTGTTGTCTTCTCCACTGTTTCAGCATTGGCCTCATTCTCAGTGTGGGCTTCGTCATTGCCCAAATCTTTTTCCTGAGGCCTGCTAAGGTCAGCAGATTCTAGAGTTTCTGAAGTCCTTGGTGGGGAACTTTCAGTAGTGTCCTGAAAAGGAGAAAGAAGACAAATCTTCAGATGTCGAAAGAGATACAATCGAATACTGGTATCTATGCCTAAAATAGATTACCTGTGGATTAACTTCAGCCCCAGGACTGGAATTGTCACTTTCGACAGGCTTGGTAAGAAGAGCATTCAGTTCCTCCTCAGTTGGCTCCTCGATGATCACTGCAGGTGGCCTAGGCTTTCTCACAGCGACCTTTATTCTGACGGTTCGACCTTCAGGGGCAGGAGTAGGAACAGAAGCGTCCTTCGTTAACTTTCGCCTCTTTAAGGGAGCAGGAGGGGAATCACTTTCGTCATCACTCCCCGATTCGACCACCAATGCTGCCCTTTTCTTGGGCGAAGGGGCCTAGAAAACCAATAGGAATTCGATTGAATAATTACATCGAAAATAAAAAATCGAAAGCCAGAAGAAAAATGAAGAAAATCTGGTTACCGATGCAGGAGGCCTCCTCGAAGAGCCTTCCCCCTGTTGGTTGCCTGTTGTCTTCGCCGGCGCTATAGTCTTCGCCGGCGGTGGAGGTTTTGTCGAAGGGACTCCTCCTTGTGGGCCTTCTGTAGCCTTCTTGGCTAGGGGCTTTCGAACAACTGAAAGCGAAAAGGAAAGTTAACAGGCTAACAGTCGAAGAGAAAGATAAAAAGTAATGTGAGAGCATGAACTTACATTTCTTTACTTTGTCCAACACAAGGACAAAAGACTTCTGCAACTCTGCCATGAAGTCCTTCTCGTCGAAGAAGTACTCAGCATAATAGCTTCTCCACCACTCCTCAAAGGATGGTGAGCAAAGGAAATTAAGCTGGTAGTCAAACAGCGAGAGGATTGTTCGACCAGCATATCTTCCGATATGCTTGATGGCAGCTTCTTCTGTATAATCGTTGCAGAAGTACAACATTGACTTCTCTCTTTGAAAAATAGGAGAAGGCAGGGTTTGGATGATACCAAACTGGCGAGATACCAGATTTGGTTGATAGGCAAGCAGACTCAAATGAGTCTTAGAACTCTTAAATCGAAGAGGCATGATCCTGGGTGTCAGGAACGCCTCCCAAAGTACAGTGTGCTCATCGACATTGGGACCACTCGACTCCTTTGGATGTGGCCTTGTGAACCATGCTGGCCCCACCCTCCGTTGAGCAAATGGAGCCATAGTTGAAACAAATTCCTTCCTTCGAGCGAACATCAGAACGAAGTTAGTGAAGGTTTGTTGAAACTCCAGCCCATCTTCCACAGGTGTCAGTAGAGCCAGCCTAATTCCTTCGATACGTCTATTAGCTATCGCTGGGGCTTGTTCATTTATCTGAATCTTCTTGGGTAAGAAAGATTCGAAAGTGGCGTTGAGCCACAGTTGAAGTAGCCAGAAAGGCCCAGCGAGTAGCAAACTGGCCCTATCTTCGATATGTTTCAAGAGAGTAACCCCATTGCTGATTGAGTCATAAAGACTGGCCAGAATTAGTTCTGCCAAACAGATGTTTTGGCGGTGATGCAGTTGGGTGGCAAGAGTGACCATCTTTTTGGTCACTTGTAGAGACTTCGAGCAAAACACAAAGCGAGTTAGCCATAAGGCTAGAAACGCTATGTGTTCGACATCCGACACTGTATCCGTCGACCTGTCGTGATAATGGTTGATAAAGGTGGTGTATGTTGGCTTGGTCTCAGAGAAGCCAATTTGGTCCTCCGACATCTCCTCCGGGTCGAAGTAATCTCCGGTTGGTCGAAGGCCAGTAATGGCCGCTACGTCGAAGAGTGTGGGGGTTAACATCCCACATGGAAGGTGAAAGGTGAAGTGAGAGTAATCCCAAAACAACAGCGAAGCTATAAGCATCTCTGGGGAGTAGTTTAAGCCTGTCTTCGACAGCATTACTAGGTCAAAGATTCCCATTTCCTTCCAGACTGGAGTTTGATGTTTCTCCAACTTTGTTAGCCAAGCAACATAGTCAGAGGTCAGATTAGGGCAAGACCTGAAGACCCTAACACTTCTGTTGAAGAAACGGAGGTCGATTTTCTCGCGTGTAGGGTCTTCGTTGTCTTCTGCGTCCTTCTTGGCGCATGCTACTGGCTTGAGTTTCTCGACGATGGGGAAATAGCTCTTGATCTTCAGAGCTTCAGAGATGCTTGGGTTCATGGGGCCAGACATTGCGAAGATCTGGTTGGAGTATCCAACCGGGATCATCAAGTGACGCGAGTAAGCATCGCGAACGGAGATGTCAGAAGGTTCAGGAACCCTTCGTTTCCCTGTAGAGTTCACTACCGGAGCAGTAACAAAGACCTTGGGTTTAACAAGTTGTTCAGTTGGTGCGTTAGTCTTGGGGGCAGTAGAAGCAGAGGCCATTGTTGAGGATGAAGATGAAGTGAAAAAGGAAGAGTTTTTCTGCAAAGAGAGCAAGTTTGTACGAAAGCAAGGGAGTTTGAGGGCTAGTTTGCGTAAAAAGTCCCACAATGGGATATTCACTACTATTTATAGTAGTGGGAGAAATTCCCAATAACGAGGACATTAAATGTCATTTAATGCTGCAGGAATTAGTGGGACGCGTGGCAGCATCCTGTTGTTTTGGCCGTTTCTGCAGAAACAGAGAGACGCAGCGTGCGTCCTCGTTTTTGGGATTTGTCATAATGACAAATTCTGAAGTGACGTTTGGTACTGCACGCCGTACTGAAAGTGACGTCCTAGGATCAAATCAATGATGGTTTCTTGGGATTGCCAATAGTTGGTAAAAAGCAACAAAAAGTGCACAAGTTAACTTGTGACTAAGCGTGGAAAAACAGGTGTCGAATGGCGTTTTCAAAGAATGCCTTTTTCTTTCAGAGTCGAAATAAGGCATTCTTGGGGGGCAATTTGTTGGCTCCTAAATTAGACACCTTTGTTTTGATTGATGGCAGCCATTAAAAGCTGAAAGATGCTTTCGACTGGCTAAGCCTGTCGAAGTGCCCGTCGAAAGATGGCAAAATACTTAGAAGATTTCTTCCAAGGAAGAAGGCTGATTGCCTTCGACGTCGAAGGAGTTTTCGTCGAAGACGTTTCTTGATGAAAGTGTTCGATGGTCCAGAGCGGAGCAGTTTGAAATTCAAAGCTTTGGGGGGAAAACGGTTTCCAGCAGTTACTACGTGCAAACGTGCAAGGATCTGGAGCGTCGAGCATGGAGAACGTGCCAAGTGGCTTAATCTCGAAGCAGTGTAACTGCCCGACGGTTACTTGGAATGTTTTAGTATAAATAGGAGTAGACATGTAGTTTCTCGCGTGTGTTCACAAATAGATACATAGTCACTCATTTAGATTCAAGTACCCAGTGTGAGCGAAAGAATTGTTGAGAAATGTATGTGTGAAACACCAATTTTATCAATTAAAGTCATTTACTTTTCCAGTATTTTACTTGCTTTTCTCCTTTAAATTCCTGTCGAACCTTTACTTTAAAGCCTTGTTTATTTTACCAAGCCTTTCCTTTATGCAATTTACTTGAAACATTTTACTTAAAGCCTTATCCACCTTAATCAAACTTCAAAATCAACCTATGTCCATAGGATCAATCTGATCGATCCTGCGAGTAACCAAATAAGTAACCATTTGGAGGATCAGCGGTTGTTTACCAAAACCCAAGGTAAACACCGTGTTACGCCCGTCAGCCCAATGTGACGACCGTCACGCGTGCCCAGTAGCAGAATCTACTATTACAGAGCCGTTCCATCTTTCCTCTCAAACCTCCATTCTTCCCAAAACCGTAACACACCCACTCAATTTTTTCCCTCAACTTCCAACACTCTAACACTAAAAACTCCATCAACCCACTACTCAATCCATATTCCAAACCTTTTCCATGATTCAATCCTTTTACACGCATTATGGCCAACAATCAGCAAGTTCCCACTCTCACTTTCAGATCCGAAGAACAAGGCGAAACCCAACGTCTCAAATTCCAGAAGTTCCAATGCCGCGGTCTCCAACCTACACAGTATGTTGACCTTGATTGTTTGAGGAATTTGGGATTGCTAGACAGCGTCCGACAACTTTTGTAGAGCGTGAATTTATGGAACATGTGTCGCAAACCACAACCCATTTATGAAACTCTAACCTTTGAGTTTCTGAGTTCCTTTGCGTACATCACTCCCCCTGGTGCCACGAACCAACTCTCAGGCATGGCCAAATTTCGTATGTTTGGCATTGAGCATCATCTACCCCAAACCGACATCGCACGGCTGTTAGGTTTCTGTTCTGACGAAGGTGTCCACCTTCGGGTGCCGGATAATTTCAGTGAGGAAGCTTTTAACTTATGGCATAGTATGACGAACATTTGTGCTGGATCCTACGACCACCTCAACGCCATGCACATTCATAATCCGGCTATCCGATACTTTCACCGCATCCTCTGCAACACCATCTTCGCCCATGATAGCAACCACAAGCTCAACTCCAAGGAGCTCTTCTTCATGCATTACGCATTCACCGGGCAAAAGATCAACGCCTCCCCGTTTTTACTGGCTCATATTCACTCTATTTGTGCTAGAGGTGGAAAACCCTTCTATTTCTGAGGGCTTGCCACTTCTCTTGCCATAGCCCTGAATTATGGTGCCGCTCTTGCGAATATGCCTTCTATGGCACCGACTTTGCTGACTCTGGACCACTGCAAGGCCGCACACCTATTTTATGAGCGGGAGGATGGAAGATTCCACCTTGTGATCAGAAACATTGTTTATCATAACATCACTTTGCCTTGCAAGGACCGAATCGATCCACAAAACAGAGCTAACTGGTTATTCGATCCTGCAGCTCCCGAGGGGCGTGTTCCTACGCATGAAGACCAGCCTAATGCCCCCGCAGATGAAATGCAAGAAGAGATGGACAGTGCTCCCCCCGTCCACGACATTCCAGGAGCTTCATCTGCACCACCTCCTATTACTCTTGAAGAAGTTCTCCGCGCCATCCATCTGGAAAATCAAATGAGTGCCGCACTTGAAAGAAGACAACAGGAACAATATGAGTATTTATGCGCGCAAAACACTCAGATCTTGACTGGACAGCGGAGCATGAATGAGAGGCTGGACGAGGCCCTGTCGGAACTCAACGCCTTAAGGCTGGACGTCAGCACCCTTGGCTACCAGGATACTGACACAGAAGCCACTCCTACCAGACGCTCTCGCACCAGGAGTAGAGGACGTGGTCATCAGTAGTTTTCTTTATTTTCTAAGTAGTTTACTTTTTCTGTTTCATTTCCTTTCTGTTTGTTTTTGTAATTGTATTTCCCCGCCTATATACCGCAACATTGAGGACAATGTCGGATTTAGTGTGGGAGAGGTACCTTTCCATCTTATATAAACAAGTAAATTTGTATGATATGTCTCAATTCAAATTCTTCGCTTTATTTAGCCATAACGAAATTTTTTATCTTCGCATTAGCCCGACATACCTATTTTAACGAAATCCCAGTTGAGGAAGCCGAAAACGAATCAACAAGATTGATACGGTTATGACACCGTAGACTTCCTACTTACGCGATCCGTTTCAATAACCATTATACCTATATCTTGAGTTTTAGTTCTAAAAGTAACCCCTAGTAGTTTATACTAGCAGTCAGCACCGTCTTGACATAAACCACGCGAAGAATCGATGAATATAAGTGTTTGATGCCTGATCATTGAAATATCCTTCTTATCTCACTGCTAAAAGAAAAGAAAATTTTGTGCACCAAAATATACAGGCACATATAAGAGTTGAGCAAATAATGAAGGAATCCACTGTTGGTTGGTTCAGAGGTATCTGGTTCTGAACTTGGTAGGGCGTGCTACGGCCCGATCCCCCATAACCTCCAATTTGGATAACATATGTAGGGTTGCCACATTCGTGTACCAGACCCCGTGCTAAAAGGATCAAAGTCACTAACCGATTAATCCACTACGTGCGTGCTAAGACAAAGGGCTTAATGTGATTGCGCCAGAATGAAACCGGGTGAAATATATACGAGGAACTCTAGGCAGAATTATAACGAAACTGTTGGATAGTTCATTTGAAATGGAAGCTTAAGACTAAGCTTATTGCTTGTGTCATTAGCGTATCGTTAGTGTTTCACTCAAGTATCGGCCGAACTGACAAGGATTTCCCGAAATTGCTTTAAAAATCAGAGGTATGTCATGCATATGCGCTTGATAAAACTTGTCCGATCTTTCTGAATGACTATTTGCTTAAGGACAAGCAAAGGTTTAAGTATGGTGGAATTTGATAACGAGAAATCGTATCATATAATTACTACACTTTTTATCAATTTTCATAATACATTGAGTCGTTTAACTCCCGATTGTTCCAAGTTTTTGTGTCTTTTCACAGGTACAACATGTTTCAAATCAAATCAGTGAAAAAGGATCACATGAAGGAAGCTAACCAAGAATCAGAAGAAAAAGAACCAAATATGCAAAGTCTGCATATTTTGTAGCTGTGACGACCGTCACACCCCATGACGAGCGTAACGCTCTCACAACTAGAAGGACGCTCGTCACACATCATTGACGAGCGTAACGCGCTATTTAAGCGCATTACGATCGTCACTCCCTCGTGACGACCGTCACACGCTTAAAAACAACGTTATGCATTACAAGGAGACGTGGGCAACGTTGTGGGCAGTTTCTTCTCCTGTATTTCCTCAACTTCAGTAACCATGAATCCGAGTCTTCCTCCACTCAAGCTGTTCCAAAATTTTCTCAACTGCAAAATCTTCTTCTATAAATATGAGGCAGTTCAATGGATCATGGTCGAAGAATTTTCTACAGAGCCAAATTTCTATTTTTCTGCATTATTCTATTTTGTTTGCTTTTGAACCCTTTTTTATACCTACTGTAATTTTAGTTTCCATAATTAGTTTCTAGAGTGTTAGTTCTTCATCTAAGAATTAACACGGTAATAGATTTTGATTAATTGCAAGGAATTTGTAAGCATCCAAGATTACCACAACAACATTATTTACAGGTTTTTTATGCAATTGATTTTTTTTATTTATTCTTATGCTATGCCATTTATTTTTATGAATTATATTTTAAGTTGCATAGTTACTAAATATATTATGTCCGACTAAATTAATTTGTACCAGTATGTGACTCCTAAGTACCGAAAGAATTCGGTGATAACTTGACTAAAAACATTTATAAATAATTTTTGGTTTCCAATTTCCATGTTTAATTTAACTACCCTTGTCACGAGAGTGAGAGGATAATTAACACGATTTTGCCACGAGAGTGGGAAATTAATTAAGGCAAGAACCTGTATGCGAGAGTTGGGGTTCGACCCAGATAGTGGTAACGAAACATTAATTTTTAAATACACGAGAGTGTTTTAACAAATTAATTAAACTC